AACCAATATTCTGTACATATTTCTACCCGACTCGATTCCGGATTAGTCGGTTCCCTTGTGGATCCGGAAACCGAAAGGTCCCTGTACCAAAAAAAAAAAGTTAGAAAGGAGTGTGATTAATTATTAGTGGAATTTAAAAAAATATATTAAAATAATATTTAAAATAAAATGATTAAAATTGATTGGATATAAAGTAGGAGATAAATAATTGAAAATGATTGGTAGTTAAAATTATGTGAGTAGATGAATAGTGAATTAAAGTCGATGTGATGTGTAAGAATGATTGGTTTGTATTATTTAATTATATGAATAATATTAAAGATAGTGGGATCGAGTTAAAATTGAGTTAGATTTTGAGTTGAAAATATTTGAGGTGAAATATTTTGTAAACAATCACCCCCTTAACAATTTAAAGTAGTGTTTTCAAAATTTAACTTAAATATATAGTCCACACAAATTAAAACCATTGATCATGTCAATCTATTTATCTATACTATTTATTATAAAAGGAGGATAAAAGGAATAATGATTTTGTAAAGAATTTCACAGACTAAAAAGTCCTTATGTTTATGGTAAAGTTATAATCACACTTGAATATTCTTGTAACACCCCACTTTTGTTTCCCGAAAATCAGTAATTAATTTTTTAAATTTATTTCAAAATCACATGTGGCTTTACTCATTTCAAAAGTATACATCAATATTCAACGAGCCTCTCAATCCTCAATCATCATTCATAAATCATCAATTGTCAATACTCAATAGTCAATCATAAGTACTCAATAATTCATAATTCCAATCCATAATTCCAATCCTCAATAATCAAGGATGCAATAATAAAAATAATCAGTTCAACAAGCGGAAGTAATATCAAATAATAAGTTGGTCATCAATGACCTACCACCATTCGCATCCCTCCGTCGTGCCCGCACTTACTAACCTGCATCCCTGAAGAGCAGGTGGGAGTGAGCACAAATGAAACTGTGGTGCTCACCACTATGCACGTAAGTAACAACATAATATAACAAAGGGTATGGTCACAACATGATTATAAATCAATTCAACATGTCATATCTCCAATCAATACACCAATAATCTCACTCATGTGCACATCTATCATTATCCATTGAAGGACTTACAGCTCTCGACAATGAGAGTGCATACCGAAGGACACACAGCTTTCAACGGCATGGCCTTACATAGGACTTACGTACCTCACAAGGGTACGGCCATATCAGAACTTAGGGAGATTGCCTCGCAAGGGCACTGTCGAAGGACATACAACTCACATCGACGGGGACAACCGTTCGAAGGACATCCAGCTCACATCGAAGGTTACACAAATTCACATGCATGCATTGATCATACCAACTCTACAACAATTAAACCATTTACGGCATAACAAATTTTATAAGTAAAACACATCTGGTATCTTGGGAAAGCAAAAGCACAACAAGTAGTGACGTAGGTTGAGGCTCGACTACTCAAACACCTACAATAAGTCAAGATACTACAATCAACACCTATCTTGACCTTAGAAGGAGTACACAAATCATACTTAGTCGAACTTGATTCAACTAAGTCGTTCGTGGAGTCCTGTGGACATTGGAACACTTGGACTTAGCACTTAGACTCGACCAAACCAATCATGGGAGAGCACCTAAATTCAAATAAGACAACGAACTAACCAGTTACAAACTTTAACATCAAAAGCTATATTATTGAAATATTGCCGAGAATATCACCTATTCAAGTTGGTCTAGCAAACGAACGAGTTAGGCTCTGAAATTTTAACACTCAAAACACTCGATTTTATAAAATTGAAACAAGATTTTAACAAAAACGGGCATAAATTCATAGCCTGACCTAATGAATGATTTAAGGCTTGAAGTTTTTACACAGGAAATTACAACAAGTGAGGATCAACATATAAAATTTCCAGCTCTAAACATTAAACACGCAATTTATAAGAATTATAGCAAGATTTTGCAGAATTCAACATTTTCCCAAAAACGTACCAATATGAACTCCAAAAATCCTGGGCATTTTTCTTCACGCATAACATCATTAAACAGACACATAAACCAAAATTTAGCATTTTACAGCAACAGGTCAATTTTTCATAAATAAAACGAGTTTTAGCAGAATAACACAAACAATTAATTACCCTAGCAAACGAAGTCCAAAAATTATGAAATTTTTACATGACCTATATGAACATCAGAGAACACCACATATCAAATTTTAAGTCATTTGGACAAGTACTCGATTTATCATGAATTTAATACGATTCAGCAGCTCGTACAGTTCATAAAATTCATAAACGACTCAATCGTCCGAGACCTTCACCATAAGGCCAAGGACTCAACAAGGTTCCAAAATCCACAACACTTACACGAATTCAATAGGATTTCGAGTGATCTTACATCAATCAATAAAAATCCCCACATAACATCACATAATATCAAACCTATCAACAACTAATCACCAAGGCAATAACTAATCACCAAGGCAACGATATATCGTATATATACATTGAAAATAAAGGATGGACAGCCTCGGTACCATTCTCGGTATGGGGTCACGCGAACGGATCGGAACGGGGCTGAAACGGACTGTATGTGTACACCGGCGGGGCTCGACGGCAAAGCTTGGTTCGCCGACGGTAGTGATGCGCGTGATCAGCAGCGTGAACGGGGATGACAAGTTCACATGGGACGTCCGAAGGCTGCTCGGACGGATGAAGAGGTTCCGCTGCTGCTTGTCGGGGCCCTCGATAAAGGGAAAGTTGTCATTGCTCGATGATGGCTTCGAACGTCTGTTGCTCGTTGCAACTCGAACGGGCCGACAAGGCCGCCGCTTCTCTTCTCGCACAAGGCTGTGTTCGGACTGAAGTTGGGCTCCCAGTATCAGCCACGATAACTCCTCGGACCATCGTAAAGGTGACCGGATTGGTCTGCCGCTACTAGCCATGACGAAACTCGCCGGAAAAATACCTCCACCGCTCGCCGAGAACAGAGGATGTTGCTAAACGGGTTCTCGGTGGTGATTTTTCCGGCTTCCGGCAACCTGCTCGTGGACGGGCTGAGATGATGGTTGTTGCTCGCGACTCTTCTCGAACACTGACGGAGGGGGTGGACGGCTGAGATCGGACAGAGAGGAGGGTTGCCGGCTGAGGAAGATGAGGGACGGGACCTGCTATTCGCCATTCGATGGGCCTGAAGCTGCTACGTACGAACAATCGACTGAGAATATCTGGCCACACACACTCTCTCTCTCTCCGGCGGGACTCGAAGGGGACTGTCGGTCATGCTCCTGCTCGTGTTCTCCGGCGAAGGCTGAGGAACTGTTCGTCGCGAACAGGACACCTGGTGATCGACTATGGTGATTTCCGACATTAGGTGGCGGAACTCCTCGGAGGAAGACCGCCGCTGCTCACTGACCGTCGGGAACAGATAGATAGAAGGAAGGCCGCTGCTGTTTAATGATAGGGTCTGAAATTTCAAACAGGTGTCATATCCAGCCAAATTGGCATGTGGTGTCCAACCACAAACAAACAAAACCACAATAAGATTAAATAAAATAAAAAAAAAAATTCTTGGTTAGTGTGCCACATTATTGAGAAGAAAGTGAAAAGAAATAGCTGCAGCCGAAAGTTTCTTTGTCACATGTAACCTTTCTTCAGTATAAATAGCAGCGTTTGCAGTGCTGAAGGACGCACCGAGAAGAAGAAAGAAAAAGAGAGTAGAAACAACATCAGTTTCTGGAGTGAGTGTTATTTTTCAGTGAGATAAAAATAGAGTGTTTGAGTAAATCCTGTGGGTGTGGGAAAAATACACCGGGTTGGGTATCAACTCTATTATTCCTTGTTTAGGAGTGAGGTTCTCACTGGGTCACTATATTTTACATTTCTTGTGTAAGGGAGTGTGAAAAGATATTGTAATTATCTTGAAAATATAGTGGATTTGTTCGGAGGTTGTCCCGTGGTTTTTTCCTCTATTTGGAGGGTTTTCCACGTTAAATCTTGGTGTCTTATTTCTTGCATATTTTATTTATTTGGGATATTCTTAGTATGCTCTGTGGTCGCAGTTTAATCTGAACTTCCACATCAGAAAAGAATTATTCTGGTTTTATTGCAAGAGATTTTCTTGTCATTCTTGAGTTGCTGGGATTGGGATTATTGTTCACCATTTTACCTTGATATTTTAATTTACATCTTCCGTATTGCGCATCTGAGCCCAACAAGTGGTATCAGAGATCAACTTGGGCTCTGTATCAACCAGTGTGAATTAATGGAGGAGAACGTGGGTACCATGGTAAAGCTCACAGCAAGAAATTACTCCATTTGGAAGCCAAAAATGAAGGACATACTTTTCTACAAAGATCTGTACGATCCTGTAGAAAAGGGAGACAACAAGCCCGATGATGTGAAGGATGACGATTGGAAAAAGTTACACAGAAAGACTGTCAGTTTAATCCGACAGTGGGTGGATATCAGCATATTCCACCATGTTGCCACAGAGTCGAAAGCCCATACTCTGTGGAACAAAATTGAACAAATGTACCAGAGGAAGACTGCACAGAATAAAGTTTTAGTCATTAGAAAGCTTGTAAATCTAAAATATCGGGATGGAAGACCAGTTGCAGAACACTTGAATGAGTTTCAAGACATGGTGAACCAACTTGTTACCATGGAGATGAAACTTGATGAAGAATTGCAGGCGTTGTTACTTTTGAGTTCTTTACCGGATAGCTGGGAGACTCTGGTGGTCTCGCTGAGCAATTCTGCCCCTGATGGAAAACTAACTTTGACCCAAGTCAAAGACAGTATGTTTAATGAAGAAACAAGAAGAAAAGACTCAGGGGCAAGCAGCTCCCAAGCCCTGGTCACAGAAACCAGAGGGAGAAGCAAAAACAGAGGCCGGAATAACAAATCCAGAGATAAATCGCAGTCTCAACCCAGAAGAAAATTCAAGTGTTATCACTGCGGTGAAGAAGGGCATATCAAAAGAAACTGCAAAGCCTGGAAGAACAGAGATCGAAGGAACAAATCAGAGAACGATGAAAATACCGCAACTCCTGTGATCAATGGGGAAGTGGTGTTGCTCTCTGTTGAAGAAGAAGAGTGTCATGTTGCAGATTCATGTGTTGAATGGGTCATTGACTCAGCTGCATCCTACCATGCAACCTCTCACAAGGAATTCTTTTCTCTATACAAAGAAGGAGACTTTGGTAGAGTAAAGATGGTCAACAACAGTATTGAAAATATTGTGGGAGTTGGTGATGTGTGCATTCAAACTGATATTGGGTGCACAATAACACTGAAGGATGTGCGACATGTACCTGACTTACGTCTGAATTTGATCTCCATGCATGCATTGGATGTAGCAGGCTATACTAACAACTTTGGTAGTGGCACGTGGAGGCTTACCAAAGGATCATTGTTAGCTTCTAGAGGTACAGTGAGATCGACACTGTACAGAACTCAATTGAAGCTGGTCAAAGGTGGATTGAATGCAGTCGAGGATGATGCTTCGCCAAATTTGTGGCACAAAAGACTGGCCCATATTGGTGAAAAAGGATTACAAATTTTGGCAAGAAAGTCCCTCATCCCATTTGCCAAAGATTCAAAACTAAATCCTTGTGATTATTGTCTCTTTGGGAAGCATCATAGAGTGTCTTTCAGCAAAACCTCGAAGCTGAAAAAGAATATTTTGGAGATGGTGTATTCTGATGTATGTGGACCCATGGAAGTGGAGAGTCTCGGTGGTAGCAGATATTTCGTGACGTTTATTGATGATGCTTCACGAAAATTGTGGGTGTATTTCTTGAGAACGAAGGGTGAAGTTTTTCAATACTTCAAAAGGTTTCATGCTATGGTGGAGAGACAGACTGGTAAACCTTTGAAGTGTCTTCGCTCGGACAATGGGGTGGAGTATACTTCCCATGAATTTAAGAATTATTGTGTCGAGCATGGCATAAGGCATGAGAAGACTGTACCTGGAACCCCACAACATAATGGTGTGGCTGAAAGAATCAACAAAACCATTATGGAGAAAGTGAGGTGTATGTTAAGAATGGCTAAACTACCTAAGCCATTCTGGGGTGAAGCTGTTCTAACGGCGTGCTACCTGATCAACCGATCTCCATCTGTTCCTTTGGGCTTTGATATCCCTGGGAGAGTATGGTCCGGACGTGATGTTAAATACTCTCATTTGAAGGTGTTTGGATGCAAAGCTTTTGCTCACATAAGCAAGGAACAGAGAAGAAAACTTGATGATAAAGCCATTCCCTGTATATTTCTGGGCTATGGAGATGAGGAATTTGGCTACAGATTATGGGATCCAGAAAATCGAAAAATTATCAGAAGCAGAGATGTAGTGTTCCATGAGCAAGAAACTATGTCTGATTCTGCTTCACCAGAAATCAGAGAACTAAGTGGAAAGGTGGATCTTTCACCTGTCAAACCTCCTGGAGATGCCACAGCAGGGGGAGAGTGTGATGGAGAACTTAGGGTTGATGATGAGCCAGCAATAGAAGATGGTGATGGTGATGGTGTTGAGCAGGAAGACCTCGAAGCTCCGCCTCCGCTCAGGAGATCAAATCGAGCAATCCAACCGTCTACGAGATACCCTAGTTCCACGTATATTACCATCACTGAAGAAGGGGAGCCAGAAAGCTTTGAAGAAGTACAGATTCATAAGGATAAATCCCAGTGGATGAAAGCCATGCAAGAAGAAATGGATTCACTGATGAAAAATAAAACTTATGAGCTTGTGAAGCTTCCGGAAGGCAGGAAAGCCTTGAAGAATAAATGGGTGTTCAAGCTTAAGAAAGATGGTGACAAGCTGTTGAAGTACAAGGCTCGCTTAGTCGTGAAAGGATTTGGACAAAAGCGAGGAATAGACTTTGATGAGATATTCTCTCCGGTTGTGAAGATGAGCTCTATTCGAGTAGTACTCGGATTGGTGGCTAGCTTGGATCTGGAGCTTGAACAACTAGATGTGAAGACTGCATTTCTTCATGGAGAACTAGATGAAGAAATCTACATGGAGCAACCAGAAGGATTTGAGAAGACTGGAAAGGAGCACATGGTTTGCAGATTGAAGAAGAGTTTCTTAACAAACACACAATGATCTTCTACAAGAAATTTGACTCGTTCATGACGAGTCATGGATATACCAAGACTGATGCAGATCATTGTGTGTTTGTTAAGAAATTTCCAGGTGATAGATTCATTATCCTTTTGCTATATGTAGAAGATATGTTGATAGTGGGACAAGATATGAAGCTGATTGGTGATTTGAAGAAGGAATTAGCAAAGTCCTTTGAGATGAAGGATCTGGGCCCTGCGAAACAAATTTTGGGCATGCAGATCATGCGGGACCGAAAATCCAAGAGATTATGGTTATCGCAAGAATGGTATGTGAATCGAATTCTGGAGAGATTCAACATGAAATCGGCTAAGCCGGTCAATACATCGTTAGCCAATCACTTCAAACTCAGCAAACGAAGTTGTCCTACGAGTCAAGAAGAAAAAGAAGCTATGGCAGGTGTTCCATACTCCTCAGCAGCCGGGAGTTTGATGTATGCCATGGTTTGTACTAGACCGGATATCGCTCACGCGGTTGGAATTGTTAGCAGGTATCTTTCCAATCCTGGGAAGGATTATTGGGAAGCTGTGAAGTGGATCTTGAGGTACCTAAATGGCAGTGCAAATAAGTCCTTGAGCTTCGGAAAAGGAAACCCAGTTCTTGAAGGTTATACAGATGCGGATATGGCAGGTGACCTAGATAGTAGAAAATCTACTTCAGGGTTTGTGTTTACATTTGCAGGGGGAGTTGTATCTTGGCAATCTAAATTGCAGAAATCTGTTGCCTTGTCGACTACTGAAGCAGAGTATATTGCAATGACAGAAGCAGGAAAAGAAATGCTTTGGTTGAAGAGGTTTCTTCAACAATTGGGAATGAAGCAGGAAAGGTACGATATCCATTGCGATAGTCAGATCGCATTGGATTTGAGTAAGAATGCGATGTACCACTCTCGCACGAAGCACATTGATGTCAGATATCATTGGTTACGTCAAGTAGTGGAAGAACAACAGTTCAAGTTGCAAAAGATTCACACTGATGAAAACCCTGCTGACATGATGACGAAAGTTGTAACAGGGGGAAAGCTTCAGCTCTGTGCCGAGTTGATCGGCATGTAATGCATGTGAGACTTGCAGAAGATTTTCCATTTGGCTGGAGGGGGAGAATTGTCATATCCAGCCAAATTGGCATGTGGTGTCCAACCACAAACAAACAAAACCACAATAAGATTAAATTAAAAAAAAAAAAAAATCTTGGTTAGTGTGCCACATTATTGAGAAGAAAGTGAAGAGAAATAGCTGCAGCCGAAAGTTTCTTTGTCACATGTAACCTTTCTTCAGTATAAATAGCAGCGTTTGTTGTGCTGAAGGACGCACCGAGAAGAAGAAAGAAAAAGAGAGTAGAAACAACATCAGTTTCTGGAGTGAGTGTTATTTTTCAGTGAGATAAAAATAGAGTGTTTGAGTAAATCCTGTGGGTGTGGGAAAAATACACCGGGTTGGGTATCAACTCTATTATTCCTTGTTTAGAAGTGGGGTTCTCACTGGGTCACTATATTTTACATTTCTTGTGTAAGGGAGTGTGAAAAGATATTGTAATTATCTTGAAAATATAGTGGATTTGTTCGGAGGTTGTCCCGTGGTTTTTTCCTCTATTTGGAGGGTTTTCCACGTTAAATCTTGGTGTCTTATTTCTTGCATATTTTATTTATTTGGGATATTCTTAGTATGCTCTGTGGTCGCAGTTTAATCTGAACTTCCACATCAGAAAAGAATTATTCCGGTTTTATTGCAAGAGATTTTCTTGTCATTCTTGAGTTGCTGGGATTGGGATTATTGTTCACCATTTTACCTTGATATTTTAATTTACATCTTCCGTATTGCGCATCTGAGCCCAACAACAGGGCCTGATGGCTTGAAACTCCCGACTCATGGACGTTCGACTGTGAGGGATTGAAAATCGCGACGGGGTTGCGAGGGAGCTGGGATTTTCGATCAATTTGAAGAAGTTTCGATCAAATTCCATGGCGTGAATTTGGTTCTGCAAAATCTGAGGGTTGCGGCGATCGAAGAAGAAAAAGTGTATGCTCTCTCCTATGTGGCTTTGTCGGCTGGTGATAGAAAAAGGAAAAATATTGGGCCAAACTTACTTGTTTTTGGACCGGAAATAAAATCGATTATATATAAAATGAATATAAAAAATGAATATAAAATGAGTAACGAGTCGGTTACTCCAAGGCTCTTTTATATATATATTAATAATCAAACAATTCATATCAACTAGTATTCGACCTGTGCATTTGCACATATATATAAATAAAGTATTGTGAGTTATTTGTATTCATATAATGATTAATGATTTTTGTCAAATTTACAATTAAATGAGCTGAAATATTTATTTTTTTAAATTATGTTTATCATATTGGATGTAATGTATATTTTGATATGTATCTTTTTTTAATGAAATTATTTATTATTTATTTAGGAATTTCAAATACGTTTTTTATTTTTTAAAAGAAGTTAATTTAAATGTAACCACAATAATAACATCTAATCACATTAAATAGTCAATACATATTATATGATCAGTTGTAAGTAAATGAAAAATTTAAAATGATATTTGTAATTTTGAAGTGATTACTGTGTTGATTATTTAATAATTAAATGAGAGGTTAAATATATAAAAAGTAACGATTTTTGGAGGAAAAAAATTATATTGCCACACAGGTATAATTTAATAGGTTTTATTAAATGCTCATTAGCCAGCAATTATATATATATATATAGATTAGGCAAATAATTCAAATAAATATAATAATAACAATAATTAATAATCCGAAAAATCCATTAAATCCAATAATCGAACGAGGCGCTACAATTTTTATATAAAAAGATTATTATAATTTAATAACCTACAAGAGGATTTTAGTTTGATAATTAACTAGTACAGTACTCGTGTATTATACAAGTGCTTGTTTGAACTTTATATTTAATTAAAATTAAAAAAAAAAAGTTTTAAGTTTCAATTTTTGTAAGAAAAAACTATATATATATATATTTTTTTATATTTAAAATGACATCCTTCACTTATACGGCTTAACATCTTATATTATAATAATTTTTTAACTTACACATATAACTAATTTGTAGTTGAATTAATTTAAATAGTTTTTCTACAATTAACGTTAATATATAATTTAATTTTTATTATAATGATAATTATAATAATTGTTTAATTATATGTACAATATGGATATAAAATCGAATATAATCAAAACATGATTAATTTGATATATTATATGTAAAAAGTTGATAATAAATAAAAAAGTAATTAGATTTAAATATATTTGTAATATATGTTAGTAAATTTTATATGATTATAAAAGAAAGATGAAGGAAAAATAAAGATTGGAAAAATAAATTGTACCTTACACTACAAGAAGCTTAAGTGGAACAACTAAATGTCATGCCTATAACCTTTAAAATCGCTGTTTGTTCCATTTTTGTTATTTTTTTCGGTGTTATTTTTTCTTTCGTTTTTCCCCATTTTAGGTCGTTTCGTTAGTTTTTAGTTCGTTTTGTCGTTTATTGTGTGTTTTGTTCTATTTCGATTTTCTTTGTGTTTCACGTGTATTTTTACGGTTTTTCTTCGTCTTTGGTGTGCAGGTCGAATGATTCGAGGGGATTTATTTTTCACGATTAATAGACCGGGAGGATATCATTAAAAAGAGTATTTCGTTGGCATTAAGAAGAAGAAAACGAAACTTAATTCCGTGTTGAAATGAGTTCAAACGGGCCCGAGACGAGACGTGGATACGTGCATGGAAGCCAGCAGATCTCAGCCCTTCCCGAGAACGTCGCGCCGCGCAGCTGCCGCGACCCCGTCAGAACAGCAAACCTCAGGCGCCACGCCGCGACGCCCTTCACGTCGCGGCAGATCATCTCAGCACCACGCCGCGCTACCGCCACGTACCGAACAGAGGAACCAGAATATCCCGTCGCGCCGTGTGCACTACCGCGCTGCAGCATTGCTGCCAGCTCCACGCCGCGAGCCCCTCCGCGCCGCGTCGGACGTCCCTTTCACGCCGAGCTGAACCTTCACGCCGCGGTGCAGTTTCTCCTCGCGCCGCGCTACCTTGCCGCGCCGCGGCACCGGGCTCCATGACGCCGTGCTCCTCTACGCGAGACCTGCACGGACTACATATATCTCACCATCGCGCCGCGCTAAGTCCCGCGAGATGGACAGACAACGTACGCTGCTTTTCTGCCGCGCAGCGAAGTGCACCGCGCCGCGAAACCTCCCCTTGCCACGCCGACGAAGTTCTGCTGCGCTGTGGAGCTGCATTCTGCCACGCCCGAGCCACTCCATCGCGCCGCGCCACTTGGAATTTTCACGCCGTTGACAAATTATTAATACCCGTGGACCTGTTCTATATAAATAAGCGTACGGGGTCGCGATAGAGGGACAATTCTCGACCGGGGGTAAAACCCTAGGTCCCGAAAACATCACGAACTCTCTTCTTCTTCCTTCTCTTCTTCTTCTTCTTCATTTTTCACCTTTCTTTTCATATTTATTTTTCATTTTAATTCTTCTTCTTCATTAAGATTAAGCTTGTAACTCATTCAACATGTGGATTTGAGATTAATGGTAAGTTTCTTTTCTCTTTTTATTAATTCATGAAAATGATTAATTTGAGGAGGATGATTGATTGTGTTGAATTGAATTTACGTAGCTAATCTTATCGCTAGGGATAGGGGAATGATTGTTCTTGTTTAACGTGCATCTCTCGGGCATGAAATTGTTCTTTCTTATGTGAGTTGTTTCGATTAGGGATCGATATATTCTCGCTTGATTGATTGATATAATCTAAGAGTGACACTTAGATCTTGCAATTGGTAACAATTGGATGTTGATTAGTCGAGTTAGGGTTTTATTGATTCTATGTGATTAGTCGATTGATACTCTTCTAGTTAAATTAGCGACTTTTTGAACCGAAAGGGGAGAAGTCCTAGACTTAGGCTCACATGAGGTAGACGATGCCGTAATTGACTAATCTATGTGTTTTAGATTGAAATATGTGGTTGTCGATGACCCGTCCCTTGTTACGAAAAGTTATTGGGATTGGGATAATTGACCTGTATTGTATACTCGAACTTGTTCGTCTATGTTCAATCCCTTGTTACGAAGAGTTATTGGGAACGAACCGCTAGATGTATAAGCGAGAGTGTCAATCTCGAACTGAACAGTTGATAGCCCGACTTTGCTAGAACTTGAATTAATTATCCCCGATTCCCTAGCTTCTCCGTCCTTGTTTTGTTTACATTTTAGGTAGATTATTGCTTTTATTTTATTTCTTAGTTGGTAATCGATTTCCCCCTATTTGATTAGTGTGTTTCGGATTTCTTTTGTTTTTATGTGTTATCAATATCATTTCTAAATTCCGAACCGCCTTCCTCGTGAGATCGACCCGGGGAACGAATCTTTCGATTCGGTACTCGGTAAAATAATAATTTGTAAACAAATTTGGCGCCGTTGCCGGGGAAGGCAAGTAGGATATTTTGTTTTGGTATTGATTTTATTTTTCGTGTTTTTCTTTAGTTTGTAATTATCGTGTTTTCGTTTTTCTTTTGTGTGTCTTTGTTTGATTCTTTATTTTTGTTTTTGTCTATTTTTTTTTTCCCTTTTCGTGGCTACGTTTGGGTTGTTCTGCTTTGGTGTGCAGGTATCATGAGCTAAAACCATACTTTCCCCAATTTGCACACCCAATATTGGGTTAACGAGCCGAGCCATTCCATCGGGCATCACTACCAGCCATATTCATACCCTTCCGAGCAGTGTTGGGATCCCTACACAGTCGAGCAAACTTATGAGTTCCACGAGATTAATGAGAAGCTCGACCGTATCTACGCTTTCGCAGCATCTCGGTTAGCTCAGGAAGAAGAGACCACAGCCCGGTGTACCCGTCCGAACCAGCCACCTCCTTACCATAATTCTTGGGACTATGGCCAGACATTATCATATCCCTTCAAGCACTAGTGGGATTTCGGGCCTATTGAGCAGCCATATGAGTCATTCGAGGACTCCTCAGAGTACAATGTCAAGCTCAATCAGGCCCTTGCTCTTTTGACATCCCAGGCTGCCGTAGGAGCAATATCGAGTCCAGAATCGAGAACCTAGTGGAGCGCGTGCAAGCCTTAGAGGATCGAGTTACCAATGTCACTCCCGAGCCCACCGCGCAAGGCAAACCTACACATAGGGACGAGCCTCGGGAGGCTGCTTTGTCGTTCGATGAGAAGCTCGACCTCATCCTTGCTCGCATATCTGCCCAGTGCACTCGAGATGTGGAGATTGAGCTCGGGTGTGCTCAACTGAGCACACAAATGGAGATTCTTGCAGCACATACCAGCTCAATCGAGGCAGAAGTCGACGTCCCTCACTCTATGCTTGATACTCAAGCCCGTATGATGAAACAAATGTGTGAGGCCGAAGAAGAAGAGGATGAGCTCCAGCGAGTCATTGATGATATTTCAGAGGAGGAGATCCATGGGATTGATTCTCAAGTCCCACCTCTCACCTTCGAGTTAGAGCACCCGTCTTCGAGGCCCTTACATCGTGTTACAAAGTTGGGAGGATTCAGTTCGACTTGCTCTACTGATGAGCTTATATTTTTGGAGGTTGACGATAGAGCTCGAGTGGGAAAAGCTCTACGTTTTGAGTTGGATATTTCTCGTGCCCGAACCCGCTTTGCCCAGAACATTGCCACTCAGATCCACTTTGCCCGTCTTCTGGCCTTAGTGCCAGTGCTTCCACTTCTCGAAAATACGAAGGCGTGGCACGACCGTCACTTCTTCCTAGATCTCGGTTGAGTTCTCCACAGGTTTCGTCAAGCTAATGACGTTAAACAAGCGCTTCTTGGGAGGCAACCCAAGGAATTTATTGCTTTTCTAAATAATTTTATTTTTTCTCTTTTAGTTTTAAAATTTAATAATTGGAGTTTGGAGTTTTTGTGGTTTTTCTCGACAGGTACTATTTGCGAGCTTGAGCAAGAGGAATAACGAGGTCTGAGGCTGAGCATAGGCGAGTGGCTTGCACATGCATGCTATTTCTCCTCGAGGCACTTCGGTTTACACACCCTTTTTCTTATTTTCTCTTTTTGAGTTCTCTTTCTCTCGTCTTTTCTTTTGAGTCTGTGTCTTGTAATAGCTGCTAGTTAGGTTTATTATATGAGATTGTTGGGTCCTTTTATTTGACTTCCTATTTTGTGTTGAAGCAATGAGGGCATTGCCTCATTTTAAGTGTGGGGTAGTCTATTCGGATTTTGCATGATTATGTGGTGGACCGGTCTAGCTTTAGGACTTTGTTTTGTTGAGCATGGTATTGGTGGATTATATGAATTGTTGATGAATGTTTGATGAAATTGGGAAGTTGTGATGATGGATGTGTGGTCATTGCCTCGATATATGCTTGATTGCTTTGAGTGACATTTATTTACCTTGTGAGGTTTTGAGCCTTATTCTTTTCTTGTGAGATATTGGTCATATTCTTGAA